CATTATTGGAGGCACAAATTTATTTTTCCATTCAGGTGTCAACTGTGGGGAGTCAGTTGAAATAGTTCGTGAATATTAAGTATGCTTAAAAACTGGAGATTGCATGAATTAAAGTAGTTATGAAGTTGAACTTAGGTTTTCCAATGGCAAATATTTATTCTTTCTAGACCCTGGTTCTAGACACAATAGAAATGGTCTACTTCCAAGGAAAAATTGACAGTGGAACCACGGTTCCGGAGAATCTGACGTAAATACGTCTTTGTATTTAAATTATATTTAGGCAATAAATACAATGAAAGGAAGTTTATATATTAGCTTTATTCTAAATATTCCCTTTATACATGCTTTACAATTGAGTAAATAGTTTGATTATGACATTGCTTATTTAACTATCCCTCATATATTCAGCATTAGTTTTTGGTATTTTTTTGGGAACTTCAGGTTCATTATTTAATACTTCTATTTTTCAAGTTTTCAGTACTGTCTCATATATTCTGCATTACGGACTCCTTTAGCTTCAATGTTATCCATCTTGTTGGCTCTACATAGTATGACGCAACACACAAACGCAGCAGTAGCGTGAAGTTCTGCAAATATTATAGGTCCTTATTTACTGATAATTTTACATATAGGTTACATTACCCTTACTCTTACCATTCCTGAGGAATGAGCGTTTGAAGGTGACTCGGCGCTGGATCTTACTCATCTTTGTAACTAACGCTGTATTTGCTGAATGATCCTTCCGTATAGACGTATTTAGGTCAAAAGAAGACAAGCCTAATTCTCTTACACGAGTTCACAAATGCAGACGAAAACATTAAATGTGATGAACAACAATAATAAATAGGAATCCCTTACCTCAAACTTTGTTCAATGGTAAGAGACCACGATGTCCACCCGCAATGACCAATTTTTTCAAAACTAATATGGAGAGAGTGGAGGGGAGTATCACAGATTTATTAATAATTGTTATTGTGATATTCTAAAACGTTTTTAACAACACAATATTATCTACTCTACGACCCACTTCTTCTACAAGCTATTCACAGCTCAGCTCTTTCTGCAATAACGAAAGCAGTTTGTTGATGACAGTAATGAAACAACAATGCCGAATAAACAGATGACATAACAATTAATTTCTTAGGTAAAGGAGTGGATTGCAATACGGTTTATTCAGGCAATTATACAGCATGCATAATAAATGA